ACAGGTTGTATCACTGAAAGATCCCCTTCTTCCACCAAGGAGATCGTACGGTTCTTCCCGGGACACTGGAGAATCATGACGCACTACGGGAAGGCCAAGAACAACGAGAGAGAGAATACCTACATCGTGCACGTGGCGCAGTCCGGTGACGTGGCAGCGGTGATCGGACTGACAGAAGTGTCCAAGATCGAACCGAAGTCAGCCACGCTGCCAAGTCGCTTTTGGACACCTGTTGCCTTGCGGTTGTTTGGGAGGGATGGTCAGTGTAGTGAGACCATCCCACGTGTGCCACGTGTAGTGTGGCCACACGGAGCTTCCAACGACGGCACCGAGGCGATCCGAATGCCAAAGCGGTCTTTGTACTGGGCCAGACGGATCCGCGCTGTGCGCACAGCCGCTTCACTGGATCCAGTCCGGAGACGCTCCGATCGGTGTGCCATGTGAATCAACACGGATCAACCGATCCAAAACAGGGTTCTTGTCACCTTTCTTACTTCTATTATCTTCTATTGGATTCAGGTGTGTGCTATCTTAGCCCTTGTCATGGAGGGCTGGGACTACACTGCTTTTTCAACACACGGTTGGGTTTCGGAAGGAGGTTGAGTTAGCGATGGGTAATTCAGACGTCCTTTTTGTGGTTTGGGGATGTTTCTTTATTTTTTTAACCGCCACCCTTTCATCTGCCACCCTTTCATCCTTTCTCTTTCGTTTGGGATATTGTCGACCGAGGTATCATGGAAGACCCCGCCTCGGAGGAGGCACATAGCATCCAAAAGGGGGCTCAGCCACGCGGCTAAGTGGACAGATTTTGAACTCAGGGAGGTTGTAGGAAAGCTTCTTTTGATGCAGAGATCTTCGGATGTTCTTCGCATAGATTTTGTTCTTGACATTGAGACTCACTTATATAAGTCACAGTGTTTCAGGTCGTTCCCACAACTCTGGACCCCCGTGTTCTGGGGAGATCTCGAAGTGGCCAAGGATCTGGGAAGGCACCGTGTCAGAGAGGATGAGCTTGGAGGTGGCGTACCTCTACTGCAAGCTTCAGAGGACTCACCAATCTCAATTTCTCGGATGACCAATCCTTTGTGTTCCTAAAGGCACGGTGGAACAGATCATGACCGCATTCTGGATCTTTCTAGCCGGATGACGACGACCTTCGTGTAGGTGTACTGGGGCCACCGGGTTCAACAGACGAAGCCAAGGTATTTGGGCAAGAGCGCACCTCCATCGAAGATGCAGAAGCTGAAGAAGATGAAGAAGGTGGGGGGTATTCCATGGTATTCCCATCAAAATACCTTGAAGAATCCCCAACTATCCCGCAACAATATCGCCTCACCTAGTGGAGGAAAAGCGTCGTTCAATCTTGAGCTCCTTGGGTTCTTGGGTTCTTATTGTCCAAGTGCTCAGGATCTTTGGATGGTTTCTGGCCAATTTCTCAACAAGTCAACAAGTCATCTTGAAGTAGATCGGCCTCACTTTTGGTCTTTTTCTGGTCGAGACAAAAGAATCACTTCGGCCCATTGCTTTGTTGTGGGACAACGTGGACAGTAGGTGAGTCAGTGTGGCATGGCGTCCATGTGTTCGGTCTTCATTCTGGAGGGCGACCCCTCAGGACTCAGCGAAGCGCCGCGAACAGGTTTAGAGTGATTGAAGGGTTCGCTATGGTTCGCCACATACCCATAGAAGGGGGAAATTCCAGTTGAACAACCTCTTAGGTTTATGCCATCATTTGTCATTTGCCCTGAGCCTACTGTGCTCCAACCAAGCAGTGACTCTGCGAGGTGCTGCCCAACGGCTCGGCGAGCACGGAAGATGCGGAAGAAGTGGTTTGGGTGGACCAGCGAAAGCTGAAAGTGGGCTCTTAGATGTGTTAGTTGAGTACTCTGCCAACTCTGCTCCTTTCTATTTTTTGTTGGTTGCAGCATATAGTCTATATACACATAGTTAACTAATGTTTTCGGAGGGCTAGACTCTGTGCATGCGGTGTGTGTGTGTGTGGTTTGGGATTGAATTCCCAGGGTGCTGGGAGGGATGCCCTGTTTTCCAGCACATTGGTCGGCTGCTGATTGGTCCGCTGCATCAAAAAGGGCAGACCCTAAGCTCCAACTTGCATGTTGCAGGTGGTTGGTTCTAGTCTTGCCCCCAAGAGACCATCGGCAAATAAGCTTGTTTGGAGCAGGATTTTTCCAACGGCCTGTCAAGGGGCCGTCATTTTCTTGAAGATCAAGTGAGATGAGCCAACAGGGAATCGGCCAGTTCTTCTTCCAGTCTCTGAAGCCATAAAATGGGCACCATGCGGGTGCCCATTGAGGTTACTACATGGTCTCGGTGGCCAAGATGGAAGAGGGTATCGAGTACTACTTGCGTGTCCACTGTACCCCGGAGGGTGAGTTGAGCTCCTGGCATTTGCCGAAAGGCATGAAGAGTGCATTGGGCTTCTCGAAGTTTGAGGTGGAGGAGGACCGCGCCCGTGTGATGTGCGGAAGATCCAGCCGTTCGGCGTTAACCTTGCTACTAGTAGCATTCTTGCTACCAGTAGTAATGCCAGGAGCTGGTAGTGTCTTTGTTCCTGTTAGCGATGCCCTTTGTTCCTAGATGCGAAAGTTCTGTGCAGACGACGAGAACAAGAAGACAAGCCACTTAGCCCATGAGAAGCACATGTTGCATTTTTCGGTAATTCAGATGTGCTTCCATTGGGAACAAGTAGTGGGACACAGAGCTGCCTGAGAAGAGAATCCCAAGACCTGCGGAAGTTCCAGAAGGATTGCTCCCTGTATCATGTGGTACCAAAGATTGTCCATCCTTCATGGAACTTTGCATCATAAGCTGCTGCCCTGTTCTCTTGTCATCAAGTGACCTTTGTATATAGCCCTCTTTTTGTCATGCTGCAAATCCTTGGTGTCTATTCTGTCTTGTACGACGAATGCAGCCCACATGCCTCCGGACGGTTGTCAGATGAGTGGCTCAAACTTGCGGTTGTGTCCCCAGTTCCGGGGTCGGTTGTCAACACCAACATTTCAGTTATTTTTGTAAAATCATGTAGCATGTCACTTCCACTGTGGAAGACCTCACCTGTTCTCTCCTGTTCTTGATCTGATGCATGTCAAAAGGAGGACTTCGATGAAGGTGAAGAGGAGGAGGATTACGAGGATGATTTCACAGATGAGTCTGGTTGGGAATCCTGTGACTATGATTGACGCTGACCTGGCGCACGTTTCAAGTTCCGCGCACTGTTTTTCGGTTCTACATGTGGAGCCGCGCACGTCTCGGTTTCACTGGCTCCGCCAAAGACCGCGGAGTGTTGAAGCGAAAAGGGTTTGTAGAAGCACCGCTAGCCGCTACCGTAATACGTTATTGATTGGATTCTGAAAAGACGCTTTGGCCACCGGAAGATGTCTGCTGGACACGCAGCAAAGCATCACCGCGGAAGGATCCACTTGCAAGTTATTTGGTGCTTACGCAAGAAACATGAACAATCAAAAGCCACTTGAGAATGCTCATGAGATCTGTAGTGAGTGAAAGAGCAACCTCAGGCAAGCTGCATCAAGCTGCTAGATTCTGAGCTCTTCGCGCCTGGCTTTGTCCGTTCGCTTGAGGACGTGAACCAACAGTAATTCACTTGCACCTTTCCGTCTATGCAACTGCACATTTTCGCAGTAGAATCGGCTCCAGCGAGACATCTCCGAAGCGTTGCTAGGGGCAACCTTTTGAAGGGAAGCAACCTGCCTGTCCTTGCCTGGTCAGAGGGGAATCTCCTGACAAAATCACCCACTTGGGACGTCGATCAGGTGGGATGCGCTGGATTCCTATACACTTCTATTCTCATTTTCTACCCGGCGAGGGCTTCTTAGACCTTGACAGGTCACACTCTGGACACCTCTCGAAACCAAAAAGGACGAAGATTAGATGGGAGCAGCCAAGTGTCTCATTTGGCATCGTTTTGTATCTATTTGATTCTATTTTGCCTATTTGTAGAGTTGATCTTCAGTGAATGTACCTATCCTTGTGCTCTATCCTCCATCCATTCCTGAGATCAGAGTCTCATGGCTCATGGCCCTTCTCTGCCCCTGCAGACGGACAAGGCTGGATGCCCCGTCATCTGGTGGAAGCTGGGGAGTCTTTTAGATCTTCCCAAAAGCTGTCGGAAACACCGAACCCAAATCGAAAAGAGCTGCATTGGTTGGATTCCGGGCCATGTTCAGATTGGGAAGCATGAGAAACCAAACCCAAATCCAGAACGACGAAGGGACGTTTGGTAGTCTGTTTGCACCAGCCAAAAGACTGAACATGTCATAAAATGACACGAGCTCCAAATATCAATGCCACGTTGCAAACTGGTCAGGCGGAGCTCCGAAAACAGCCTGTCTTCCAGTGGAAGCAAGGACTCCGGCGAAGCGACCTTTTTCGCGACGCCAGCTTGGAAGGATCAGAGTGCGACGCGAGGTGGATCGAGTTCTTGGCACAGTGTTTCCTCGTCCCCCAAAAGCTATATAATCTTCCTTTCCTATAGAGTAGTATAGATGACACTGGGCAAATCCCACACATTTTGAATAGTGTCCTTGGCACATCACAAGACAACACATACAATCAAGAAGGACTGATTAGCAGTACTCAGTACTCCCCCAAAGATTGGAACGTAACGTGAGGTTCGACCCCTGCCCGAGGAAGCTGGGACCAATGGCTTCGAGGGTCCAACGCTATTGGGGAGGGGGGTTGCAATCCTGAAGCATGTAGATACGCACTTGTTACTAGTAGCGTGGCACTTGTTTCTACTAGCTTCTTGTTACTCGTAGTAAGGCACTTGTTACTAGTAGCGTGGCACTTGAAGCATGTAGATACTTTGGTTTCATTTTGATAAATGTCTTATGTACAGCACCAACCTTGCCAACCTGCCACATCTCCAGGAGAGTCTTCACTCAGGCTGGTTGGGCGTTTGTGGCGTTTGTAGCTCCGCCGGCCCTTGGAAACCGGACTCCTTTCCCATATTCTCCCATGCTCACGTTTTGGAAGTCAAGACCACACGTCGAAGCATTTCATCAAAGGGGAGGGGAAGAACTTTCATGTTGTCGCCATATTGCCTCACTTTTTCAATCTTTTTCAACACATGTTGTTGGCAATGCCTGGTCACGACTCACGACCCGTGCCTAGGAATCATCATCTAGTGACGGTGGGTGTGGGATAGCCCCAAGCTTGACCGCTGGTTCAAGGTTCCAGTCCCACCATTGTCAAGTTCAAACCAAAGAACTGTTTGGTACCTCTCTGATTTGTTGAATGCTTGGCATCTCAACCACAAAAAAGAGGCCTCGTGCCGGATTGCTGCGAGGCGAGCGGATCCACAAGCAGCCCAGCCAGGCGTGGCGGTCGGAGGTCCCGGTCGAAGCGATGTGAAGCTGTGGGGAAATTCCGAAGCAGTTCGACAGAGGAGGCCCGGCCAACCTATGCTGGTCCCAGCTAAGAGTGAGATGTTTAGTTTTTTGGGGCAGTTCTTCCGGGACATATAAAGTCTATCGGTTTTTGTCGGAATGTATGGAAGACAGGAGGCCATTGTAGTTTGCTGTTGACTGCTGGGCAGGATTTCTGAAGTTCTGAAGAAGTAGTAGGCATACCAAAAGTTGACGCTGAGGGACAAGATGTATCACCATCTCAGAGGGCTAATGGCTTGATAGCACAACGATGGCTTTCCAAGCAACAAATGCATTGCAATACTGTTTTTGGAATCCTGCATCTATGATCTTCCTTCGGGTGAAGATGTGGCCAGGTGGAAGATATGGTCTTTCTGGAGGCTGGAGGGCCGTTTGGAGGGATTGGCCAAACACTCCGAGGCATCCAGGTAACCTGTGCAGTTTGGTGTTCTTCTTTCAGGTCACAGTCCTTTTTGGGACGTTTTGCTGTAAAGCCGGATTCCAAAGTTTCAAGTGTTTTCCGCAAAGCATCAAACAAAGACACAGCATCCACCCCACTTGGGATAATTCTGATCATCGCCCCAAGCCCTGAAGAAGCCTAAGTCTAAGAGAAAAAATGGCCTGGGTAAACCAGGTAGCATGTAAGGCGGTCGGATCATCGTAGTTAGGAAAGGAACACATCGACTGTCGACCCCTCCAAATTTGACAAAGTCTCAAAGTCTCGACACAGGTTGAAAGCGACACAGAGCATGACTGCCGAGTGCATAACAGGTGCAAGGCTGGCAAGCTTGTTCTAGTTAAAGCAGGGACCAACAGCGTGAGACCCACCAGCTGCACTTAGATGCCCAGGGGCGGTCAACAGCACGTACGTTTGCACAAGCACTGGGTGAGCGTCTTCGTTGGCTCTCGTCTCACGCAGGCTCTGAGAGCCCCCTCTCTTCACCATGTGGACTTGACAGACCCGACAGACTGGGCCCCGCGGAGGCCAATGGCGAACTCAGTGATAGAGCCCTTCAGGCGGGGCGGGCCCGGCTGCTGCGAGGGGTTGGCACACGTAAAGGACAGGAATCCACTGTCACTTTCATTGTTCTGGTTTTGGACTAAGTATAGACTGGTCTCCACATACGCAGCGAATCCAACAAGCTACAGCCCCAAAGCTCCCGAGTTGCGCCGGTGGCAGACTTGCTCATTTTCCCATGCTGACTTTGGGGAGTGCGGTGCATCTTGACCTTTTTCAGACGCAGTCCAGAGCGTGTTGTTCACCTGGAGTTTGTGGGAGGAGAGATTCTGGGGCTTGCTTTGTGACCGCGGGGATGTCTCCAGCACATCATTGTAAGCTGAGATTGTGTTTAAACCGACTACAGTTGCAAAGCCCCTGGTAGCTGGAAGGTCAATGAGCACTCATTTGGGGACTGTCTTCAGCTACACCGTGGGCTACGGCCATTTGATATACGAACTTTGTTTGGGTATCCGAGGATTGGGGTCCATCTCTGCGATTGGTGAACACACATTGACATTTTTTAACAGAGATCCAAGCCGTCACCATACGGACAGGGATAGCGTCTTCACAGCATCTCGTCAACGTTGGAACGGCTGCCAGACTGGACATATGTTGAAAATCTACAAAACGAAGGTATTTGGCCACGAGTTTCGACCGTTTCCGCAACCATGTAAATGGATGTGAACAGATTATAATAGATTAGGTTGGTTTTGCCGAGTTTTTAAGATCGGAAGAAGGGTTTACAACAGTGGATGAATTGGTGTAGGGCAAGCTTTGGACCCTTCTGCGTTTGAAACCTCTTCTGGCAGAGTTTGTGGTTGCTTGTGCGACAGGACAGGTGAAGGGCAAGTTAAAGTTGACCGCTGATGAACAATTGATCAACCATCTCCATCAACCATCAGGTTGAGTCATCCTGACTCAGGATGACCTTGTTTTTCTTGCATTTTCAGAAATCAGTCATTTTTTCAACTGTGATTTCTGTCTCGTGACGGGTGAAGCCTTGTGGGGACCAAAACAACGGCGACCGCGTCCCCCCGCGGCGATGCGCGACGGCAGGAGATCCGTGCGACCTTCGAGCTTTGCGACGCCGATGGCTCCGGGGAGATCCATGCGAAGGTGCCGTGGCCCAGTGGTGCGAGTCACAGGCGGAGTCGGGGATCTGACAAAGAAAAGACATGATCATTCTTCATGGGTTCCTTGCTATATATTTTATAAGTCTAGTTCTAGTTATTTTTGATTTGCTTGCAGGTGGTGGTAGAAGATTGATGCTCTTTTCCAGTCCAAAGGCAAGTTTCGATTTCTTTGGAACCTTAATGGACGTCCTTGCAGTAGCTTTCACCCAGCGAGCCGGGTCGTGAGAGTTTGGTTCCGAACAGCGGCCCCGGCCGAACGAGCTTGTGAGGACCGGACCCTCGTGTTCGTGTTCCTACCTAGGTCCGGAAGGTGAACATGCGGTGGAGTGGGTGGATCCTTTGGGTTTCATCTCCGCTTCGGGCTCCATGCTGCAGGAGTTGCACACCGTCATGAGGAACCTGGGCTTCAAAGTGAGCTATGAGGACCGACCGACCTCGAACGGATGGGGGAACAGTGTGACCAACTGGTCAAACTCCGGGGGCCAACGCGTGTGGGCTTCACCTGGGCTCCCCAGTGGCTATGATTGATTTGCGTGCCTGTTGGGGAACCAATGAGGGAGATAAAGATGGACATCCTTCAAGCCAATCTGAGATTGCCATGTGGCAAGACCAACCTACTGCTGCCATTGCCTAAAGCGCGGACAATTCTGAATGGCAGCTGGATGTTAATGTTGCTGCAAACTAACACTCGCTCCCTCTCCCTCTCCCTCCCTCCCTCTCCCTCTCTCTCTCTCTCTCCCTCCCTTCCTGCCGTCTAGTTCAATTCCTCCAGACCACAGCAATTCCTACACTGTAGTTTAATTCCTGTAGTTCCCCCTCTGTCTCTTCTCGAAGCAATCTCAAGACTACTCCCCACACCGCACCCACAATGCTGTTCACAGGAGGTCGATCGGATGATTGCACAGGTCGGCAATGGCGATGGTGGAAAATCGGGGATCCAAGACCTTCTGTTTGGTGAAGGTATTTGCTGGGCAGTAGGACAAATGGGGGTCGAATTCTGATAAGGATCCCATGAATTCCATCTGGATAATTGTGAAGC